TCCAATTGGCGCTAGCCCATCAGCGTGAACCCGTCCAGCCCGCCTCGTAAAGCTCTATACTTTCCCGCTCCCACCATAAACCCATCTATGTTCCGACCGATACGCCAAGTTGACCGGTAGGCCAATCGTTCGACCGACACACCAAGAACACGCTGAATTATCGTGAATTCCGCAACTATCGGAATAATTTATTTTATAAAAATTAGACGGCATCTTTTATGAGAAGTAGACATGGCTCTAGCAAAGTTTCAGCTATTTCGCATAAGTGATGGTTGCGCAAGAATGATTATCTGGCTCCGGGCCAGACATGGCTGGGAAAAAAAGCTCAAATTTTCAACGGTTATTGGAGATATTATGTTCAAATTTTCAATATGGATCTATTAGACTTTCTAAATCAATATTCTCAAAATTCAGGACAATATAAGGTGCTAGATGTGCATTATGATTGATATACTGTCGCCCACTTGGTGTATCGGTCGACCGATTGGCCTACCGGTCAACTTGGCGTATCGGTCGGAACATCTATATACAACCATCCATCCGACCACGTTCACACGCCCTCACCCGGCCAATTCCACCCCGCTCCTCCCCGCTCCTCCCCGAAAATGCCGAGCCCGATCCGCCGCCGCCGCAAGCGCAGCCCAACATCAGCCCTTCCCAGACCCAAGTCCAAAAATGCCCGCATTTTGAAAGAGCTAGTGAATCCACCGGAGCCAAACGACTCCAGCCCGATTCCGCCGCACGTGCACCCAGACTTGAACTCTCTTTTTCAATCCGCCCAGCGCCTAAAACACTCCACTCCCACTACACAAGGTACTTTCCCCGCCGACCACTATACGCGACCACCCCGTCTGATGGCTGACCCCGCTGCAGTGCCGAATAGCAAGCGAACGAAAATGGATCCCGCCGCCGCCAAAAACCGTACGTCACCTCCCCCCCTCTCCCCCTTCGCCCGTCGCAGCTAACTCGTGGATGACATAGCGTACGAATTCACCCCGATCGAGCGCAAGAGCGTGACGTCCTACACCCGCGCACAGCTCGACCACACGATCCGCGACCGCTGCGCGCGCATCATGTGCATCCGCGTCGCCAACGACCATCCGAACACCACGCCCAAGGTCGTCACCTACGGCGAGAGCGTCATCGAGCGGCTGCGCCGCGACCTGTGTGCGCTGTACCAGGGCGTGCAGATCCTGGAGCGTGCGGAGCTGCGAGCCAAGTACCCCGAGCTCAAGATTGCGGTGCGCGAGGCCGGGCTGATGTACTAGCGCAAAGCTCATACGTAACTAAACACAACGGTGCGGTCGGTTTAACAGTCAATCGTTCGGTTTAAATGTCAATGGGAAAACAAGATTTTGGTTCGTTTGAGGTAGCTTTTAGATGTCTTTCTGCGGTGCGGGTAGAGGTTTTGTGAGAGTGAGTCGAGTTCTGCGGTTGATTGATTGAGGTGGTTTGAAGATGGAGCCCTTAAGGCCAACACAACCATCATCCCAGGCATGGCCAAATTAGCAATCGTCTTCTATGGCAAATCGAAATCCCAGTACGACTATACTGTCCATGCCACACAGGTTCTCGATCCGACACGCAACCAGTTCACAGTTGATACAACGTCTGAAAATCAATTTCTATTTATTGTTGAAGCAATAAAAAGAACCGTGGATCCCGCTCTTGAAAACATGATCCAACTGGTTCCATTTTCGTCTTTTAGCTTCCTGAATCGTCTTTGAATCGTCGCAGCGCAGGCACCAGCATGGCCAAAGTCACCATGTTTATCCGGAGGTATGTCTAGCGCATAATTCTCGGTGAGCTGGTATTCACTAGGCAGAATACCTTATTTGTACTGGATATAGAATTAGTTCGTGTTCATTGAATTGTGTGTTAAGTGTACGAGTACGGGAAAAGAAGAGAATATAAGAGCAAGATAAGGGCGATGAGAATCCAGGAGACCCGCCCACATGACCAAAACCGAATCATTAATGATCCAGGATTGTTGTTGAAACGCTAATAAGGACCGTCGATCCCGCTCTTGTCCAGGCCCAAAATGTGATTCAGCTGGTTCAATTTCTGTCGATTGGGCTGAATGAGTCATCGTTAAACCGTCGTCACAGCATGGTCAACAGCACACTCCAGCACAAAGACCCAGGTATATCCGGAGGTCTGTCTAGCGCATATTTCTCCATAAACCGGTATCCACCGGCCAGGATACCTTATTTCTGCTTGAGGCACAAGTATGATGGTGTTCATTGTATTGAGTGTGTTAAGTATACAGGAAAATAAAAGAGAAGAGAAGAGAAGAGAAGAGAAGAGAAGAGAAGAGAAGAGCAGAATAAGGGCAAGTAGGCACCAGTAGACGAGCCCAAATGAGCAAAACCCGAAACCATCGATGATCACATTTCTCCATGTGCCTTTATCCGATCTTATTTATCCCTCAGAACTCAAATTTGTGCATGACTCACCGTTCCGCCAGGCCATATTATCTACACCGGGCTCTTCATCATGGAGCTCGGTTGGTCTAGCGGTATGATTCTCGCTTAGGGTTACCCTGAGTAATATGCGAGAGGTCCCCGGTTCAATCCCGGGATCGAGCCCACTCTTTTGCTGTTCTTTTCGTGGTTTCATTCTCGAGATGAGTGATCTGTGGGGTGGTGTGATATTTTTTTGGTGTGGCTGTGGTGCGGCTGAGGCGGTGTCGCGCTACTTTTAGGGGCAGGGGTCTGTCGGTGTGGCAGAGGTCGAGCCGGGAAACTGCATGCGCTAATCCTAACTACACACCGGCTGGCAATCAAACACAATAACAATTCCTAAATACGAGAGGGTCTTTCTTCAGCTTCATCTATCGAGAACAGCATTTTAAGGACCTCTTCAACTAGCTACTTCCCATCATGGAAGTATCTTACACCGGATCTCAGGTCAAAGCGTCCCGTGGATCATGGGGCCAAACATCTGGTGCAGCATGCATGAGGTGCACCTAAGGCTCGAGACTGGAAAAGTTCTCTAAACCGTGTCTCGTGCCCAGCACCCTACACTCCAAGCGTCAGTCCTCGTTCCTGCGGCGCTGGCAGTCGCCCAGTTTGAGGAACGAGGAACAAGCTGTGGCGCACAAGTTACAACAGCTAGGCACGAGACAACTCTACACCCCTAGAGATTTTTCTTCCTCGTTTCGACGGGAGATGGCTGTAAAAGCGAACGTGGTAGGATACTCGGGATGATCAGAAAGTTAGAGATGTGTGAGAATGTCAAAAATAAAGTGAGGGTCGTCCGTCCACTAGTAAGTCTCCAACGGATACACACAGATTACTATGCAAGAACTATCGCTAGCGGCTACACTATATGTTCAGCGAGCTGAACCTACGGGGAATATACCGTCGTGGGCGATCGATATTCGTTGATAGCAAACCTGTCCGGGGGAGATATCACAGCCATGCTCAATGCTGCTGTGGGCCAGAGCTTTGCTATGAGAGCGGGAACGCTGTTGATCTTTTAGAGCTAGTCTACAGAGTATGTAGCATGTGGTCATAACCCCTACATCTAAACGACAATCTCTACCACCCGTGCACCCATCACTCGTCGACCCAGCAACACCAGACTTCGGCAAAGCCCCATCGGCCACCATCCCCGTTTCACCCCATTTCCAAAAACGAGACATCCCAGGCGCGCAGCCCAAAAACGCAAAAATGATTGTGGCAAGGATTGAACTTGCGGCCTTCTGTGGATCCTATTATGCTACTCCTCTGAGAGGAGTTGTATTGTAAGACAGATGTGATAACCACTACACCACACAACCAGTGATACTTCAATGGCGTCACATGCAATTATGAAGGGAAGGGTGACGATGCGGGTTGAGATTCAGAGATTGCGTATCGCGAGCTCTGTACATTCGGATTTACACCGGGACTTGTCGACTTGGTCTTGAGCTTTGATCAATCGGCTCCCGATGCGCTCAAGGGTACAACGTTTCGATCGCGGGACGAAAGACCGCTCGCAGTGTTAACATTCGCATAGCACTGTGAATGAGTTTGTCTGGATTTCCACAGTCCGACTGGTATGTTCGCGCAAACCAAAGCATGGAGAAATATTTCCGCCCGCCTATCAAACCTGCTTCGCCAGAGCAAGGAAACAGACGCAATATCCTGACGACATTGCAGCAATCACTACTCACCTCTCTCGTGATGACGTACGTCGCAAACATCCATCTTCCCCCCTCCAAATCCCCCGCCGTCGCGCCAAGCCAAGCCACGAGTGATGCCCAGTGGACCCACACGCCGCAACCCTGTCTGCACCGAGAGTGTGCGTTGACACGAAACAGATATGAGAAAGAGTTTCTTTGTGATTAGTTTACTAAAGATATCTGCATGGCATGGAGGTTTGTTAGCTCCAAGCGGGTAGATACATATCGTCAAACAGTCAGTCACTGGTCTGAGCGTTATTTTTACTGTAGGAGATGTCGACACTGCGACCCTGTTCAGTTCCCACCCTCTTTTTCGCGGCACAGTCGATCACGTGTAAGCGGCTGCGAAGAAACATATAATCAGCACCTTGCCTTTTACGATCCAGATCATCCAAAGTGTAAACTCCGAGATGCTGAGTCAGCGTTCAACATCATCGATCTCGACTTTATGATCTAGAGTTTGCAACGTCCCAACACTCAACCAAGTGCAAGTAGACTAGTAAATTTTCAAGAGAACGATACTCCAGACGGCATGCTACGCTGTCGTAGCAAAATTGAGCGTTTCGGTCGCTTTTCAAAGGCACAGATATAGCCTGTACACGCAAGAACTTTGACCCATCTAGATCATGGGTTGTTTTGCCACCAGCGCGGATGATCTGGATTATGGAACGCAAGGTACCTGATGTGTATGCAGCCAACCACCTGCCAAGTCTACCGGGAAAAATAGAGTATGCACGGCAACCTGCAGCTTACCATTCACCCAACTCCACATTCACCATTTCCCCGTTCCCCCGCGCGGTGATAAACCCACGGGTGACTGAGAGGATATGTCGGTTGTGTGGTGTAGTGGTTATCACATCTGTCTTACAATGACAACCCCTCTCAGAGGAGTAGCATAATAGGATCCACAGAAGGCCGCAAGTTCAATCCTTGCCACAATCATCTTTTTGCTTTTTCCTCACACCGACAAGTTGGTAACTGAAGTAGTTAACTTTGAACGGTTTTTTTTTGGTGTGGCGGGACGGGATGGGATGGGTGGGAAGGGGGCTTGGGAGGGTGGTGCGGAATTTGGTCCTTGCAGGGAAGAAGCAGGAAATATGCCGCCACAATGGGATCACTGTGCTTCGACTAGACCAATGTCCTGGCTGAGTCGAGGAATAGAAACACATGCCACCGAGAACCTAGCATTTATGAGGTAGATAGTAATTTATTGAAAAAGTAACCCCAAGAGAACCAACGAAATAAAAGACAGCCAAATAAGATATAAAACACCTCCCAATGCCCCTCCCAAACCCTTTGAAATAAACCCATAACACCCCCCTCTCCCCCACGCCTCTCTCCGCCTACAAGCCATACGTAAACGAAACCCTCTCATCCCCCTCCCGCGGCGTCCCCTTCCCCCACCACCGTTCCCTCCCCCTCTCCCGCCACCCTCCGACCCTCGGCCCACGCCCCTCCCTCTCCTCCCTCCTCCGCTCCTCCACCGCCCACCCCGCCATCGTCTTCCGCCTCGCCGCATTCTCGCGCACCAGCGCCCACCAAAACGCGCCATAGCCCACGGTGGCAAACGCGACCAGCCCGGCGGTGACGCGCATCGGCCACTCGTACCCGGGTGCGTACGCCGGCTCGAACAGGTACCCCGCCACGACGCCGGCGAGGTTGCCCCAGCCGTTGATGCCGAGCGCGACGGCGCGCTTTCCGGGGGCCTCGATGTTGCCCGACAGCCACGCCACGGTCAGGGGGGAGGCGATGAAGCTGCCGGCGAGGACGATGCACAGCGCGAGGTAGCGGGCGAGAAACGCGCCGCTGCTGGGCAGGGCGCAGACGGCGAGGAGGCCGGCGAGGTTAATGGCCAGCCCTAGCAGGATGAAGGGCATGCGCCGCCCGGCCTGGTCTGAGTAGTGGGAGACGGTCCAGAGGCTGGCGGCGCCGAGGAGGAAGGGCGGGACGGTGAGCAGGTTTGCGCTGAGCGTGGAGGCGCCGAGGCCTTTGAGCACCAGGGGGAGGAAGATGGAGAATGCGGTTGCTGGGACCGAGAAGCAGATGTTGAGCAGGAGGAGCGCCCAGATGTGCCAGTCCGTGAGGGCCGAGAAGATGTCGAGGCTGCTGAGCGCCGCGTCGCCGCCGACGGACGGGATGGCGGGGGCGCCGTCTTTGGGGAGGAGGAGGGAGGAGGCGTCGGAGTCTGCCGAGGACTGGGAGGACGACGAGCGGTGGACGTACTCGTTGCGCCGCGTCGAGTTGGGTGGGCTCGGCGATGCGGGGGCGGTGTACAGCAGCCCGCCGGTCTCGAGGTCGCGCTGGTCCGCGAGTTCTTCACCCGGGAGGTCGAGCTCCGGGAAGCGGTCGCGCAGTACGCGGCGCTCCGCGGCCTCGGCTTCGGGCTTGGAGAGCCACCACGCGCTGCCGGGGCCGGTGGGGAGCCAGAAGAACGTTGTCGCTGCGACGGCGATGGTGAGCAGGCCTTCGAGCACGAACAGGACTTGGTAGGAGTGCCAGCGCCCGTCGGGGGTGTGCGGGGGCTGCTGCGTCTCGGTGTCGGTGTCGGGCGTGGAGGGGAAGAGGCCGATCACCACGTAGGATACGAGCCCGCCGAACGCGCCGGCGACGGCGTACTGGCCGAAGAACCACCCCAGCCGGCGCGCGAACTCGTAGCGCGTGTAGAACAGGCTCAGGTAGAACACGGTCGTCGGATAGAATCCAGCTGCACAAATCCACAATCATTAGTAGAGTGCTCTATCGCCAGGTTTGCACAGCTCCCCACCTTCCAGCGCGCCAATACACACGCGCAGCACCATCAACTGCGTCCTCGTCGTAACCCACGCCGTCGCCGCCGTCAGCACGCCCCACCCGATCATAACACTCCCGACCCAGCGCCCGGCGCCGGCCCGCTTCCCCAGCGCGGCGCCGACGGGCTGCAGCGCCACGAACGCGATGAAGAAGGCGGCGACGGCGTCGTTGAGGTCTGACTCCTGCAGCCCCGCGTAGCGCGTGAACCCGGCGGATTCGGCGTTGCCGATGTTGGAGCGGTCGAGACTGTTCAGCAGGAAGAGGAGCGCGAGGAAGGGGAGGAGGTAGAGGTCGGTGCGACGGAGGATGCGCGCGGTTTGCGGGTCGTATTGGGCTGACATCGTGCTGGTGAGGGTGAAGGTGGTGAGCTGGAGATGGAGATGGGGTGGTGGGTGGTGGGTTATCGCCGGACCATGGGCGGACTGCGAGGGCGAGCGAGGGCGAAGGTGAAGGCGAAGCGGGGGACGCTGCAGGCGTGGAGCGTGGATCGTGGGATGTGCGCAAGCCGATCGATCGCGCAGCGCCGGAGTTGAGGCGAGGGGTGAGGTGGGGTGCGATCCACAGGCACGTCGCAAGGGTCTCTCTCAAGCGTCGACTAGGAAGAACACGATCACCACAAACCTTCAGAGTAACAAGCTTCAGAAGAGAAGAACAGTAGAAGGGAAGAAGAAGAAGAAGAGTAAAAGTGTCAGCCAGCCCTCAGTCTCACCTGCGCCCGGCCGCCCTTCCCCATTCCACTTCTTCCGCAGCCTGGTGGGTCAGTCAGACCAAACGCGCCCGTGCCGTCGGACCCTGCCCTCCTGCCCCCCCTCCCTGTCCCCACCCCTAGTCCTGGTGCCAGTTCCACGTGCCGCACCTGCGCAGAGCCGCATCATGTCTCACATAAACCACAAAGCCTAAACCCAAAGCACACCCCCAACCACAACCCAACCACAACCCACAAATCATAAAAGCACAGAGCTAAGCCGCTCTGCAATCTGGCTTATCTCGCGTTATCTCCGTCAGAAGTCTGATTCGCGGCGGACGCTTCAAAACGGCCATGTCTTCAATTCGCGACTCTCATACGCCGGTGCAGAAGGATGCGGGGCGAACAGAACAGACAGCGCCGCTGACACGGTACCGGAAAACGCGGATGACGTCGTGGTGCGCGTGCGCTGCCTGGATTTGGGGAGGTGCTACAGGGCTCTGTTGTGACAGCTGAGAAGATGGAGGAGTTTTTGGACACGGCGCCGCGGGTGCCGAGTGTTGGTTGGTTTCGGGGCTCGGGGGTTGGATCAGGTTGGCGAGGTATGTGCGTCATTATACAGCACTCGGGGGTGACCGAGCTTGGAATGGAGGCAGGAAATACACAAGAGCACCAGAGGTGTTTGAGGGTTGGGCTGTATTGATTTTTGCTTGCAAATTTGTTCCTTCCTCCTTTCCCACCCGGCATACCCATCGGGATCAGTTTTTGCACCGTCAACAAACTTCTCCGATAAACAGATTTTGTCGGATGGACCACGGTAACCACCCGTTTTTCAACGTTGCGTTACTGGGACACCTAATTTATCAAATTTTGCGAATCCGAAACCGTGGACTACCTCCGTAACACGCATGGCTGTGACCCTCAGGAACGAGAGAGAACGCCTCACGAATACTCGATCCTAAAGCCAGTTGAAGACAACTTTCACCACTTTAAATTGATGAGGCCGCCTTTGGTATTAGCATTGTTTAAACGCGGTTAGGAATGCTATTAGAATATCTTCTTTCATGGTCGAATTCCATTTTTGCCTTGCAGCCTCAATTAAGGTGCAGGTGTTGTTGCTTCTTCGACTTATTCAGCACTGAAACCAACACACGGCCAAAATTTGGTCTCCCTGCATGTGCGCCTTGGCGTCTTGGTATCGCAGCCGCCTCCATTGTTCTGTTGCCCTGCTCTCAGTTCGCTACACCCCACCTTTGCGGCAGAATGTCTTCGCTTTGAGAACTTTCAATGTTAACCAAACAGCTACTACACACATCTCCCTACAAACGACGAACCACTGTGTCTAAGCGACGATGTCCTCGAGCACGATCGTCGCGTCCTAGTTGACTCGCATCGCGTGACGTCACGCGACTGCACTCAAACGACTTATCCACTTGATGAATCAACAAAGTTACGATTAGGTGGGTGCTTCTTTTATGCTAATCTTCTTTCTCGTTACAATATCCACATGATATCACCATTATAAAGGCAGACGTCGACTTTAGGTCGGCGATGTGAAGCAATAGAATCTTCGATTCTAGTGAAGCGTTTTGATGGATCTTTACCTCGTTTACTTTAAGTTGCAAAAAGATTTCGAACATATTGCTGATGGTTACAAGCGATAGATACAATTCGATTCCTTTCAGTGAAGAATTCGTTTTTCTTTTTTACAATCGGATGAAGAATTCTGCATGACGGCTACGATAAAGATCCCGGAATAGGACAAAGGAAGAGATTGCTCCACCTGCAGCCATACGATATTGGTCCCTGAAGGCCAGCACGCTACAAAGACACAAATTTATCAACAGCTACTGGCAAACGAACATCTACAAAGGAGCCACCGATCGGGAGATTCTCAGACTTGTTGTACACTGTATGGGTCTGAAGTGAGGTGCAATTCACACACATGGAGCACCAAGGAAGCTCTTTATATTATGGCATTCTATTGGATGAGCCGGGGGACAATATACACTCGTGTATGACAATGGAAATATCATGATTGATAAGGGTCCGTTCGGCAGCCGTGGCGTTTTTGACAAATTTTCATATATGTGCAAACTTGGCTGCCAAACAGCATATTCGGATTTTTCGCAACAAGCTCCTGGCCGCCGAACAGCATATTATGATTTTTGGCAACAAGAACATGGCCGCCGAACCGCATATTCAGATTTTTCGCAACAAGCACCTGGCAGCCGAACAGCGTACTCAGATTTTTCGCAACAAGAACATGGTCGCCGAACAGCATATTCAGATTTTTCGCAACAAGAACATGGCCGCCGAACAGCATATTCCGATTTTCGCAACAAGCACATGGCTGGCGAACGCTCTTTTGGCACCATGTGCTCCAATGCTTCATTTTTTGCAGTGGCAAATGGCTGCTGAACGGACCCTAAAGCATTAGTTGCGAATACTGGTTCGGATGTCTGATTACCGCAATAGAACCGACGCCTGGAATGCTCTTTTTTAAATATAGTACATAGTATTTGTCGACAGATACAAAATGCCAAACAGCAACTCTGACGCTACCAACCTGCAAACAGAAAAGGATGAAATCACCGATCTCCCCCGCAGCGAAAAAGGTGATTCCTTACACCTTGGGACAGAATATTATCCGCTAGCTAATACCTCAACATAGTCGGATCCTAGTTCTATTCGTCCAACTTACCGATGCGTTGAAGTTCGACCTACTCTTAGGTCTGTTCAGACCAAAGGTTCTTCGAAGGTAGGAAGATCACAGTATGAGTGACCGAATTTGGAATTAACATTACTGTGTGTATACTAGAAGAATAACCGTTCTCCCGGGATTCCAAACTTTAGCTACACTGCACCGACACCTGAAGCTGATAAAACTGTCTCTCGAGTTCCAACGTCCGGATTATACTCAAGTGCGCCTGCCTCGGAAGACGAAGGTGATTCAATTCCCTTTGAAACTGCAACGGAAGCTACTCCAACTTGCAAGAAGCCTGAACCTCTATCAGCTTCTGGGATAAAGAGTGTATGTGGATCCAACTGCATTTTAGCTTTTCTTCTAAACCATTCAGCAGACTACGGTGGAGACCGAACCTAGCGACCCATTTAAGACACCACCAAGAGGACAGCGATGCTTCGATATGCTGGACGTCTATTTTGAGACTGCCCCGGAAGGCGCTCTTATATGTGCACCTCCGAGTCCTCCGCGCGTGAAAAAAAAGAAAAGCGCGTTGCAGATGGAGCTTCGGGCAGTTAGAAAACAGATTGAAGCAAACAAAGATGACGACCCACCGTGCAAATGCAAGAAGAAAGTGTGTTACGCGGACCCTTTCGAGCCTGGGCCCTACAAAAAACAACTGAGGGATCCTAAGGAAAATCCGATGGAGAATGTTACTTCGCAGCCTACGAATGTCGTCTTTGAGCCTCAGAAAGTTGAAGTACCGGAGCCTACGAATAATGCTCTAGAGCTCCAGAGCGTGTCTGGTGGGACCTTGGATCGTCAAAAGAGAGAGTTTGCACGGCTCGCGGAGGCTGCAAACGCTCTGAAGCTCCCGAGCGTGTTTTGTGGGACCTGCGATGATCCCGAGGACGAGTTAGAACGGCTTACGGAGATTGAGAGACTCTTTGATCAGCCGGTTGAGGAAGATGTCGACTGCATATCAAGGAAGATGCATAGAGAATATGTACAGCGTCGTGAGTCTTTGCCGATGATAGCGTCTCCCACCTTGGTAGCCCAGAGCTTGAAAATGCAACGGGAGAAGCGTAAGGTTAAAGCAGAAAATACATCCTAAGGAATTGAAAAGAATAAAATTGAAGCATATGTTGTGGCCGAGCTGTCAAGTAATCGACTTCACCAAGTAGCCGGCTCACAGCCACTTTTCTACTTAGTTGACTGGCCCTTCGAGAATAAAACGACTGACTGACAGAGACTAAGTAACCGAATTAACCTGAAGAGCTCCGAGAGGCCTCTGCCCCAGCTACAACATTCTGCGTCAAAACCACTACATGTCAGCAGCCTGAACTTCTGAAAGGTGTGGTAACGAGTCGACCACGTAGCTATACACCTCACATTGAACACACTATTGAAAATAGCCAGCAGAGAATTTCGTCTTTACTTGGTCGAGTGTGCAATAGTGCTCTTGAACAGTTATTCTTCAACTTGTTTCATCAAGCTCGGTTGGTCTAGCGGTATGATTCTCGCTTAGGGTTCACTCTAAGTAATTTGCGAGAGGTCCCCGGTTCAATCCCGGGATCGAGCCTAATCTTTTGCATTTCACACCCAGTGGTGATGTTCTTTTTAGAGTTTATCTCACAGAATTTTGGTGGTCTGGCTTAGTCACTGGTCACTCGTTGTGGCACGTGCTTAGGAGGTGTGGCGCTGCATCTCGAAATTTTTGACCTTAAGTCAGCATGTTAGCTCGCTACATGCATTTCTTTAGAAGCATTATTCAGTTGAAATATGAGTTATGTAGTAGGTTAACTCTACTATACCTTGAAACCCCGTACAGATCGCTCTGCGAACCGTATGTCCACACCGCGACACAAGGAGCGATGGTTTCTAGAACCAAGTCGACCGGAAATCCTTATGAATCTCAAGGAATATGTGCGAGCAACACGATAGAATACATTATAGAATAGGTCGCTACCGTCAAACCTGAAACAAACACTAAATTACTACAAAAGAAACACAGCCCTTCACGTGAGCCCATGGAGTTCTTGGCCCACCTGTCCACCTGAATGGCTCGTGACAACTTGGATGTACCCTTAGCCCACCTTCCAGTTCTCTTATGATCGATTCCCATTCAGTCTTCCAGCGTTCCGTCACAGTTTTGTTTCCTTTTAAATTGAACCTAACTATCTTAGAATCAGGCCAGCTTGCCAGTCTTGTTTACCACTGCTCATTCCCTTACCCACACTTGGATACTTTTAACACCTGGAACACCTGGAACAATCAACCACCTGCAACAGCCTCAGAGAATGTTCTCACGCGTACTAGTGTTTCTAGGCATTATGGGATCCTGCGCGTCTTCGGGCAACAATAAAAAGGGAGGCACAGCTACCTCCCGTCTGGAAACCAGCCAGAATGCAGACAATCCGGTACCCGAGGTCGCCATTGACGACAATTCGGAATCTATCGAACATCCCGCTGCGATACAGACTCCTCAACTCAAAATCAACTGTGGAGATGCAAACGATATGTATTCTGCCATCAGGGAAGCCGTCAATGTCCACATTGGTGCACCCGACCTGAACGAAATCTCCGAGGACGCACACAAGTATTATTACCAACTCAAGGATCAGGAGTATGTGAAGACCCACGATTTGGAGGAGTTTCTGGAGAAGTTTCGGAATGCGGATGCCATTGACCAGATTTGGATGTCCAAGCCGGCCTATACTTCAGTTCAATAAGTTTTCTTCGCTCTTCAGGGGTTGGGTTACAACTTTACTCAGTTACGTTACGGGATGAATGATTTTGGGAAAAGGAAAAGGAAAATGGGGGGGAAACAGCCGGAGAGTAAAGTGTTATTCTGTGGGCAATGTGGGTCGGTAGAAAAAGCGGTTTTTTTTGGGTTGCAATGATTTGTGAAACTGAATAATAAAAGTAATTAATTCACACAAAACAATAAGGGTAAACTAAGTTGTTCTTGTTCGCCACATTTTATAGATCAAGTTCTCGATGTACAAGTACATTGCGGATCTTTACATATAGACACGTAGTAATGCAGAAATTCGGAAGGGTCTCCAAAGGTACTTGAGGATACTGCTGCGACAAAGTAGAGAAGTTGGCGCTGGATCGGTCGATCTACAATCTAGACTAAAATATATATACCACGTCTTTTATCGAGGCGAAACCGGTAGAACCAAAATTAATAGCAACATAGCAATCGAAAAAGGTCTCAACGCTCGGGATGTTTCTACACTGGTGAATGTTTCTGTTCAAAATGATTAAGACTTTTGTGGGTTTTACTTCAAAGACAATAGGAGATCAGTGTAATTTAGTATCATTTCATTTGATTCTATCTACTATCCATCTTAAAACAGTGGATATCTTTCCTTCCATCATTCCTTTTAAATGCCGCCAATGTGTACATGTGAAATTAATCAAAGCATAGATTTCATTGAAAAATCACCCTTTCGATTGCCAAAAGGCTTACCAGTAGTTTAGAATTCCCGCCATAGTTTCCTGTAGTTTTAGTAGAAGCAGAAGGTTATTAATTGTCCTGTTTCGCGGGTTGAGTAGGAGCTTGGGTATAGGCGTTCAGCAGGCTCTGGTTCGAATTGCTGCCATTTCCCTGAGCTGGTGGTACCCTTCCTTGTCCTCTCCCTTTTCCTCTTCCTTGTCCACGTCTACCACGATGCATCCATCTGCCTTGACGGTTGCCTTGATGCCGACCTTGGCCCTGAGCCTGAACTTGAACTTGAGCTTGAACTTGACTTTCAGCTTCCGGTTCAGCTCCTTTGGCCTCTTTTTGAGCCCGTTTAGCGATGCTTTGCCTGCGAATCTCGGCGTAATTTTCGGGGTTGCAAAACTTGACTAAATTCCAGTATATCTTGGCGCTCTTGGGCGACTCTGGGTCCGTTGGCACTTGAGTATTATCCTCACTGGTGATGTTTCTAGGGACAAGAATGCCTCTGGGAGTGTCTTCTAGCGAAGGAGGAGGAACAGGATTTGTTCTTATGGTAGGGTAGTCAAGATCCGAAGGTTGTTGACCATAGTGAAGTCCTTGGCCCACTGCCGAATAAACTGGAGGTTGATTATTCTTGACCATATTCCTTGTTTGATGTCTCTTCTCCTCATGTCTCTCATTGTAAGGCCTACTTGGCAAGTCGTGTTTATCAAGATCCGACTGTGTTTCCGATGATACATAGTCTTTACGAAGCTTGTCGCCTTCACAGCGATGCTCAGCGTGAGGATGAGCTGATTCGTAACGTCGCAATTCCCGAGCTGCCTTTTTTGCCGCTGTATCTATTCCGTGATCGCGCAAAAAAACTTGGATATTCTTAGTATCCGGAGCGGGAGAACGAAGGGTCGGAAGTTGCGGGACCGCCGAAAAACTGGCTGCTTGCATGTTATTTTCCAAAGCATCAAACATTTGACGAGGATCCATCTCAGGATAACATGGGTTTTGATAAGATTGTATTCCTTGAGGAAGTGGTGCGGCCGGAATATGCGGGCCAGGATTACAATAATATCCATTTTGTAGCATGGCCATTTGAACTTGCTCAACAGGACGAGAAGTTTGGTTCTTCATTTGCAACTGCTGATTGTAACGCCGAGCCTCTTCCAGTGCTTGGTTATAGGGAATAGGTGGCTGGTAAAGTCCTAGTTGTTCAGGAGAAATATGCGTGGCCGAGATAACTTCCTGTGTACTAGCGCGCTGAGGAAAGGTCTGAGCACGTCTGGGCGTATTATACTGAGGTGGAACAGTAGGAACGCTATTGGACGCCATCGGTAGAGTTTGCTGACGAAACACTGGTGTTGTCGTTGGATTTGGCGTTGTGATTCTTGGCCGGCTTGATTGAAGACCTTTTTGAACTTGAGCCGGTACCTGAGCCGAGCTGGGAGTTATAAGAGAGTCTTTTAGTCCATGACCTTGTGCATCATTTACGAAGGTCGTTCCGTATTTCGGTCGAGCAGGGGTATCAGGCACAAAATAAGACGGCGTTGCAGCCGTGAGGGTCTGCTGATTTCCCCTGAATTGCTGAGGACTTTGGCCTGAAATTTGTAACTGACCAAAATTGTCAACCATTTTGTCAATTTGGTCAGTGTGATTATTTTGTTGTGAAGACAACAATGACGAACTCCTGTAGACCGAAGGAGCAACACCATTCACATATCTTGTATAATGCTCAGGAATTGCCTGCAGAAAAATTAGCCTACGAGAAATCTTTTTCGAGAATACTCATGAAGGAAGTTTCTTACTGCTTGAGCATTGAAACCAGCAGTAGACCCTTTCTGTGTCCCAGCTTTATTCATGGGACGTCCGGTTCCAATTGGAGGTTGCTGTCTAGTCGCAGACTGGGAAGAAAACTGCTTGCTAGGGATGTTCTGACGAAGTGTTTGCAACACTTCCTCGCCCACCTCTTCAGCCTTTTCATTGCAAGATTTTGCGCTGTTTCTCAGCTGTTAGTATACATTTCTCAAACATAAAAGCAGAGTTAAGCAAACTGTAAGTGAATGACAGGGAATAGTGGGACATACGGAAACTGAGCTGCTATCATTTCATCCGAATTCCATACTATGATATCTGTATAAGGCGCCCTGCAAGTATTGCATGTATGGCTGCGAAGCGGGGTCCATGATCTGTTATAGCATTCGGCGTGGAAATGGTGATTACATGATTTCAATGTTATCACACTTCCTATTTCTGCAGATATGCCAGTACTAACTGTACCGATTGCTTTGGTACAGAGCGAGCAGGAATCGGAATTGCGACCCATCGGGGGTTGTACACCCATCGCCACCAGCTTGCGCTTAGTTTCATCATCTATGTCCCTAGGGATAAGGTAGGTCATATTCGCCGACATGTTCGACGGTTTGAAACCACCTATCTCTCGGCTTTGGGTTAGAAACGCGTTCCAATCTCCAATATGAAAACTTGTACATACCTTGTTGTGGGGTCAACCGTTTTGATAGGGGTGGTCAAATTAGTTTGTAGAATATTATTTTTCCCGGGTGTGGTAGAGTATGGTTACTTGTTTCCAACGAATAAAAAGAAACACAGATGGTACCGGTTCCCCGGCAAACCCCTTGATAGGATAATTGTAACCCAGCGCCGAGTGTGCTATTAATGACGCTGAAACATAGAATGACGTCGTTTCAAATACAAGCTACAAATCTGGGTTAGGATATTTCAGGTTTATGAATTGTTCTAGAGACCATTTTGCATCATGCTTCCTGGCTTGGTTTCTATTGCCATGCTGTGAGTCACTTTAGTCCTATCTCAAAAAAAAGTAGCACTGATTCCTGACAGCTAGAAATTGCCCACAGTGCTGATCAACGGTAAGACCATTCATGGAAAAGAATTCGTGAGATCAGACGGATGAGAGTGATGGATGACTGCAAGAATTAAGTAGTAATAATCACAGTCCTGATAAAAAGTTGGTAACAAAAAGTATGATGGCATTTCACGCCACCCGCGTTTGAGGCCACAGCTTCCAATGTTTTTCTCATCTTGGATATGTTGACTTAACAAGCTTTTGCTAAGCAATGTAGATATTATTGAAGTGTAAGATGTTAATCAAGAATCATAAAGAG